CTAATAAATATCCATCATTATGTTCGGAATTGTAATTTTTATTTATTTTTAATGCAAGCGTTATAAAAATTTTTGCAAAAATTATTCACATGATCAAAATTACATGTAATTTTGATTTTCAGAAGATTACACAAAATTTCATAAAATAATGTAAAATTACGGTAATTTTCCATCCCTAATCATCACCCAAAAAAGTTTCAATTATCCTAACTAGCCAATCAAATTTCAAGATCAGGTGTAACGTAATATGATTAAGAAAATTCAAAACAAACGTTTGTTTTGTCAAAAATCACTGATAACTCAAAATTTAGTCTATGAAACCACCTTCTGTGCACTAATAAAAAATTTTCCTTGCAAAATTTTGGTATAAGAAAGATCTTTAGACACAAATCTAATAGTAAAATTCTGACCCTAACCTAAAAATACGAATTTTTACTTGAAACTTTTTTGGGTGGCGATTCTACCCTCGTATTCATAACTCTGGTAAACATAATTTTGGTAGAATTAATCCGAACTCTGGTAAACCTAGGGTTGTATAACTTACGGTAAGTTATCCTAACTTACGTAAGTTAGATTTTGACTTACGTAACTTACGTAACTTACATATATTACACTAATCTAATGCTGGCCAATATTTTTAAAGTTGGCCCGCTTTAGCTTTGGCCTATAATTAAAAATTTTCTTTCTATTTCATTTTAATGTTGGTCAAAATATCTTAATGCCGGCCTGCTTTAACACCTTATATATTTGTAACTTATATGAGGTCATGTAACTTACGATGTAACTTATAATGTAAGTTACATTGTCAGGTAAATTAACACAACCCTAGTTCCGGGTCGATATATGGACTCGACTTCACATGACGGTTCGGGTACAGATCCTAATAAAACCCGCCCGTGCGGAACACTAGCGCTAGCGATCAGGGGATATGTCACGCTGCAGGGGGGTTCTGTACCCTTATATATAAAGTTTTTTGTATATATTGCAAATTTCATATGAACTACGATGCTTTTTTTCTCTTCAAGAGAATTTTTTTTTTTTTTTGTTGAAACACTTTACTACTGCGGTTATTAAAAGTGTAAGTTTTAGTCTTTTGTTTGAATATTTTACAAAGCTGTTGTTTGTAGATGGTCTAGTCTTTAAAGAATCTTGAATTGAAGTAAAGCAACCGTAAATATGTTACACAAGACTTTTCGCTTACATTTTTATTCTGTTCTTCAATGCAGGCCCATTACGTTTATATAGAAATTACAAGGCTTCAAATATTCTTTTGAACCATAATTTTGAATGAATAATTTGAATCGTTAGATTCTTTATAGCTATGATATTTGGGGGGTTTTTTTTTGCCATTTTTTGAAATATTCGAATGAAAAATTTGGATGGTCAAATTTTATATACCTATCTTTTTTTTTTTTTTTTGAAGTACCAAATTTTTGATTGAACTATTTGAACAGTCAAATTCTTCATAACCACTATATTTTATACTCAGGTTTTTTTTTGTTCAAGTAAATAATCTAAACGTCAAATTTTTTATAGCAATCATAATAGTTTTTTGTTATTTTTGCACTTGCGGGATCTTTATTTTAATGAATAATCCATTTTCGAGTACTAAGAACATTTATGGAGAGGTTGTATGTAGTGATCCTGATAAGGATTTCGAAATTCTTGACGATATTAGCGTTGGAGATAATTCAGAAAGTCTCAAACAAACTACAACCGCACCTTCGTCATCTACATGTAGCGCAAGCAATGTGAATAATAATATATATGATAATTCATATGATATTCATTTTGATAAAGCAGCCGTAGAGATGGCTAAATTATATGTTAATTCAACATCACAAGTAATGCAAGAACAGGGTCAAGAGGTTGATATAAATTGGTTGGCATCAGAACTTGACACTATATCTAATGAAGAATCGTCATGGAAAATCAATAATCACCAAGAAAATGAACTAAGTATAGAACTTAGTTCTTCACGTATTAAATATATAAATAGCACATGCATTATAATAGACGATCTTAATGGAACATCACAACGATGCTCTCATTCTGTATCTAAGCCATTAAGGCAACTTGGTGGAATTTGGGAATTAGATTTTGAGACGGTAAATGAAATCTTAAGCTCAAATAAGAATGGAATACATTCGTTAGGAATATGTTCAAATCATTTTAATTATGATAATAAACAATTGCACAGTTGTCAAAAAAGTGAAGTTAGTATTAACAATGCGCTAATTTCTCGAAAAAAATGTTTATTTTGCGGATTTGACAAATATATATTTAGCCGAGGTTATTGTTCAGAACACTCATGGAAATTATGTGATCGAAACATACGAATAGCGTGTAATGGATTAAAAGTTTGCCCTGTATTTCAAAGTAATGATTTTGCTAAGTAGTCTACTGGTATTAAGCGTACATGATATATTTGTGTATCATGTTTTATATCTGAGGGTGGACATTTATATAAACAAAGAGGACGAGGTGCTGTTCTTCCCTTTGATTATACAGATCAACATTGTGACGACTCTACAAAGTCTCTCCAATTTCTAGCCAAGTGGATAAACGACATATCTGAATCTGCTGAAAGAAATACTCGATGCCTTCTTCTTGATGAAATTTTTAGGAGAATCATGGCATTTTTTGAGAAATCAAAATTAGCCAAATTAAATGAAGAAAATATTAGCGATGAGGAGTCAGAAAATAACACGATTAGAAATAATGAAAATAATATAAATCAAAAAAAAAAAATCGAATCCGTTAAGTTTTTTAGAGATAAAAATTGCGCTTAGATTGAAGAAAGTAAATATTAAAAAATTTTCTACTAGTGAAGTATTCTGTGATACAATAAAAAAACACTCAATACAAATGGGCAAAGCTTTAGCAAACTTGTTTTGGCGCTCTAGACCAGAAGTTCATGCCAATAAAGTGAAATTAGAAACGCCTAGCTCTTTAAAGGAGTATCAGGATGGATTTCCATCAGTGCTTTTAAGTTTTTTTTACGGTCTAATAAATACAATACAACAAAATAAATGGAAAGTCGTAATAAGAAAGCAGAAAGAAAGAGGAATTTTGGAAAAAGACTATGATGATGCACGTGTCAAAAAAATTGCCCTGTTTTTCAGCTCCGTATTGCTATCAATAACTTTTCCAGGACTGAACATTTGGTTCACTCACATTCTTAGTTCTCTGTGCCAGAAGCCCCGCCTGCATACATCACTATATTCAATATTATGTGCAGCTGGTGTTGTAGCACATACTAATCGATATGAGAAACATTTAGAAAAACAGCAGCGTGAACAAGCTAATATAGTTGAGAAATTATGGGTAGGAGAAGACGTATGGAATATTTGTATGGTAGATAATTTCGACTTACAAGAAAGTACATTCAGCTATGATAACCTTTATAATGTAACACGAAAAACAGCTCATCTAACACTTCGAATGGTATGGCAATATCGATTTCTACAAGCTATATCAAATCTAGTAAAATCAAACAATACTGAGTTACTATCCTTTCAAATTGGACGATCAACATTTATTGACCAGCAAATACAAAATCTTGAAAAAATATTTCACTCATTTGTTGAAGATAAATGGTTAGATTATGATGCTATTGATATAAAATCTGAATTCAAAAAAAACATTCCAATAGGATGTAATTTACCACAACCAAATGTCGTTATATTAGCTCCAGGAGATAATCCGTGTAATAATATGAATGTTCATCAGGCAATAAATATGTATTTTGATGATGTAGGTGTCGGTACAAATAATTGTTTAGACATATCTGCAGACCAAGCGATATTCCGTAGGTTAGTTCCATTACGTACAACAAAATCTGAAATCCGTTTATTGCTTGGTGGCTGGCATACCAACAAATGCATGTTAAATACTTTATTGGCGGTTTTTTCAGGCCACGGTATATATCAGTTAGCAGCTAGTCTGGGGGTTTGTTTTCTTGAAAAACTCGAAAAGGTAGTGGATTACACAGCTATATGCAGGGTTATTGAATTGATTTGGGTCGCAGTAGGCAATGCTCTTACAGCTTATACCAAACGTAATAACTTAAACATAGAAGCTATTGAATCAGGAAATAATAACATTGTAAAAGTTTGGTATCGATTTTTTATATGGGCAGGGTTTTGGGTTTGCCATAAGATCGGGATTAGGCATGGTGATCATAAAATGCAATACCATAGTTTGGCCGCTTTTGCTCCTCTTTTTGCGGTAGCTGGACGATGTAATTATACAGAATCTGTTACCTATTATTTGGCTCAAGTGGGTAATGACCCTATGTTGCAAGCTTTATTAGATCTTGCATATTCAATAAATATAACAAGACCGGGTCATTATTTAGCACTTGATGAAGCCCTCGAGTCTTACGGAGTAAAATATGTGAAACAAAACCTTGGAAAGTACTTGGGTACCATAGATGATTTAAAAGAAAGAGTTTCATCTGTTCAATCAGAAAGAGCACGGATGAATTTATTGTTAAGTGAGTTCGTTGGTGACGTGTTAGCTACGCATACTGATCGTAATTTGAAATCAAGAAAAGAAGTGCTATGGAAATTAACGATTGAACTTTTAGAGGCGTTTAGTTTACCTGAACCAACCAATCATCCTTTATTTTCCAATACATCTCAGAATTATGACGAAGGATTTTATAGACTTTTTGCTTGCTATAATATTGGCATAGAAAGGCTTTATAACATTTATAGGCAGGATATAGAGAAGACAGTCGAGCGTGATACAGCCGGTAGGCGTGCACGTAACATAATAATTGAAACTGTAGCTCAGCAAAAACAGCGAGAGCTAGAAAAAAAGCAGTCAGGAAAAAAAAGAACAAATAAAGCGGTGGATAATTCGCAAATAGAACCTGATAAAAAAATAAAAAAACGAAAAATCTCTAAAAATACCAATGAAGACATTGGTAATAATGAAGAACTTAATCCGGGTGCCCAGTATCAAGATGAGTGTAAAATGCAATGATTTTCTTAATTTTCACAATACAATAATTCGCGGAATAATTTATATAAAATGAAAGTGTATGAATGATTAAAAATTGAGCCAAATAATGAAACTATATTAAGGATTTGTGGAGCAACCTATCGTACATTGAAAAGACATAATTGTTCACAAATTTCAGCATCTAATAAGAAAATAATTCAGATGCATTAAATAGTTATAGAAAACTTATAGCCCTGATGGGCAGGTATAAAGTAATATTTGTAGATTGAAATAATGTACTAAAAATCAATTTAAATAATGCGACAAATTGTGGAAAAACTTATAGGTATAAAAAATTGCTTACATATTTAAATGTTATTAAAAATTGAAAATGATACTAAATATTCGTGGGTTAATTTATTACAGGTGGACAAATATGAGGAATCACATCGCATTTAAATGAGTCACTAGAAATTGAATAAGAATCACTTGCCGACTTTGACAACTTATTAAAAATTACAC